CTCCTGGATCAGTCTTTTGCCCATGTGACCTTCAGCTGACCACAGTGCTGAGTCACAGGCCAGGTGGAGCCCTCAGTAGGGCAAGAGCACACTCCCAAGAGACAGTAAACCTGTCTTGCACGGGAGGAGGGTGGCTCCCAGAACCATTCGCTGCTTGGATTGAAGGTGGGCTGGAATGGATTCCCGACTTCCACCATGCTGTACATGCCTCCAGGTAAGAGGGGCGGAGAGGAAGAAGCATCCCTTGTCTCCTGCTCCAGGGTCACGCTTGCCCCTCAGACAGCCCTGAAGAAGACAGCCACCAGCACTCCGTCACAGAGGAGGGAAGACTCGGGAGCACAGGAAAGGGCATCTGCTAGCTCCTGTGTTTGGAAGAAGGAGCTCCATTTGCCGAGATCTAGGCCGCAGGGCCGCTGGCCCCTCTTGCTGCAGAGCCCACTGTGTACCAATGACACCAAGGAGAAGAGACTCCGCTGCCAGCACACACCTGGTCAGGCGAACAGTCAACCTGCTGTAGCATCTGGGCCGCTCTGCTTAGTGGAGCTACCCATGAGACAAAAAGCAAACACAAGTGTTTGCTTGTGGCAGGCCACCTGCTCTCCCCGGAGCCCAGGTGGTGTCTGCCTCCATGGCAGCCCTCAAGCTCTCACCAGCCACCTTCTCAGAGGCACCAGGAGCTGGCAGGATACAACAGCACTCTGCTGCCTCTTCTCACCCCGTCTGACTAGGTCAGGGTTTCACAGGATGGCTCAGGGGGGTCTATCGGATGCAAAGGGGGATGGTCCCTGAAGGCCCCTCACACAGCTGTGAAGAGCAGGAAGGTAGGTGATGGGGAAGGCAGCAGCTAGGGAAAGAAAGGAGGAGGAAGAAGGTACCATCTATAAGAGCTCTTTAGGGTCCTGGAACCTGTCAGGGAAAGGATCTGTGACCTCTGAGAGGGGTTGGGAGTCCTGCTGAAGGAGGCACAGCCTCTCCTGATTCCCAGGACACAGGCCCTGGCTGCTCTTATGAGAGGGGACAGCCTGGAGTTGGCTGCACCAACCCACAGCTTCCTAGGACGAAACACCCCGTAACAGAGGGCACAGAGAACACAGACCAGACAGACAGGGGCCCCCACTGACAGCGCCTCCTCTGTGGCCCATGCCCAGGGCTCCCTGTCAGGATGCCCAGTCCTTGTCACCTTGTCTTGCTGCTAAGTGTGTGTCTTCTGCTGTTAGTTACTCCTTGGGAAGCAACACTCAAGGCTGTTTGATTAGTACTATCAAGTCATTCATAGAACGGGGAAGGAGGAAGGCACAGTGCTGACCGAAAAGGACTGAGGTAAGAGATCATCAGCCAAGCAGGCCTCAGCCCTTACCCCAGAAGCACCCCCCCACACACACACACACACGTACACAACACAACCCTCCGTAATGTAATTACGGCCACTCAGCTCGAAGGAAAGAATTAGTGAGTGGAGGCTGGACTCCTAGCCAACTTTGCTTTTTTTTTTTTTTTTTTTTTCTTCTGGGCACGCAGTGGGCGTTTTCTTTTATCAGCCCCAGGGAAATGGATTCCCCGTGGAGCAGGGTACACAGCTGCACCCCTCCCCCAGCACGGCACCGTGGCTACGACACCAGGTGCCTCAGCTGACACTGTGCAAAAGGACAAGCCTTGAGTGTCCTGTCCCTAGCAGCCCTCTGGCTACACACTAACATGCTTTCTTACCATGCCTGGAGCACAGGGGCCCCCTCTTCAGGACAGCAGGGCTTCAACACAGCTCCAGGCCTAGCCCAGCACTCATTCCTAGCCCATGAAACTCCCACCGTCCACCAGCCAGTAAGAGGGGGGAAGATCTTGCCGAGACCTCAGCTCAAACCCAGAGAGGCCAAGGCCTCCTGTCTGGGTGATGCTACGTGTCACATGACCATTTTTAGATCTGGTCCAGTCTGTTTTTCCCCAGCGTATGTGTGAGTGACTTGTGGTATGACAGCCAGGGGCATTTTCTTCTCCCAGGGCCCTCGTCATCACTACTGGTACCAAGCTCTACTGGCCTTGCTAACAACAAGAGCCCTGGACCTGGCCAATCTACAGATTGGGAGAGCCTCGGTTTGTTCGCCTGTAAAATGGGAAAAGAAGACCACAAACCCAACAGGGCAGGGGTTGCTATTGTTGTGTGTCGGCTGGAAAGGGGACCAACGGAGTCCTCTGCCAGGCTGTGGAGAAGAAGATCCTGAGGGAGGCAGCAGCTTCCAGCTACCCTTTCCCTTCCTATCCCCAGGTCCATTTCAACAGATCCTGTAATTTTTAATTAGTTTTCTCCTCCCCTGGCTAAGAGGCCATTAGTACCCCATTAGGTGAACGATGCCATTTTCTTCACACTACACCAAGGAAACAGTGATTTACTTAGCCCATTCCTAAAGCAATTCTGCAAAATAAAGGCAATCTAGTGAATGGGCTCAGTCACTCCCTCACTTGCTGTCTGCTCTCAGGCCCCACCCTCAGGAGCCCCCGGCTGGCCCAGCCCTGAGAATGGGTGCTGACGCTCAGCAGCTGGAGGGAAGAGCCACTGAAGGGTCCAGGCGAGCCTGGAGAATCAGGACAAGTTTCCAGGATCCACAGCTCAGTGAGGGAAGGAACAAAGGGGTGAAGTTGTGTGCCCCAGGCTCCCAAGGATGCTGCTGCTGTAGACAAAGTATGGTCCCCACACACTTACAGAAGAGCTATCCAGAAAGGGACCCCCCCCCATGACATGGCACCAGATCTTTTGGTTCGTGCAGCTAGAGGTGCTAATCAAGATGCCAAGCCAAGAAGATGAGGGACAAGAGTCTTGCCGAATTGTTTGGGGGGAGGGAGCATGTCCAAGTAAGGGAGACGGAGATTCGGAGATTTAGCATCCTCCCGTCCAGAAGAATTTAACAACCTACAGAAGGTTGTTACCTCTAGTTCCAGGACCCTGGGCCCAACAGTCGTGAGGATAGGACCAAGTGTGTGGCACAGTACTGTGGGATCTTTGAAGGGGGGTGGAGAGAAGGGTTCCAGGCTGTTGGGATCTGTTGGTAGTACCTATGTACCTACAGCTCTCTTGAGAATGATGAGCTCATGGGAAAGGGGAAAGAGGTCGGAGGAGCATGTTTTGATGATAACTTGAAATGAGAGTTCTGTATCAGTCTCATGAGCAAGGTTCCCTCCCTCACCTCTTCAGACCCACTCCAAAACTGTGGTCAGCAAGCCCAGCCGCTAGAACTCTGTATCCACAAGAGGGCGCCGGAGGCCACGCTGCGCCCTGTCCTCCTGAGGAACCGCACCCGAGCTCTCTGGTGGCAGTCGAGCCCATGAGTGTCACAACTGCTACTGTCAAGTCTGGGCTAGAGAGCTTCTCAAACAATAAACAATTTCTTCTTCCTGGGTCTACGGCCACTGCCTTCTCTGTACCTCTATCGCGGTTTCTTGACCATCCAGAAACCGGTGGGTCTACGACAGGGGCTCATAGTCCCTGGATTCTATAAGCTGTCTGTGGCCACCTGATTCTACTGGCCAGAGGTCTCACATAGAAAGCTCTTTCTGTCTCTGCCTAATGCCACAGGCCAGACCCTTGAGCTGGGTCCCTGAAAAGGGGGGTGAGAGGTGCGGCAGAGACTAAATTCAAGGCTAGGAGGGTTCAGGGAAGTTGCCCAGCACGTTTTCCTAGTTCGCCCCGACCACAGGACCACACACCTGTGACTCGTAAGTTTAAACCCAGAGACACAGGAGAAGCTCTGTATTTTGTTACATGGCCTCATGCCTATGACCCCCAGCAACACTGGGGCCCCAGCATCTAGGATCAGACTCTTCAATCTATTTTTTTTTTTTTTTCCTTAGGAACGGGGAGGTCTTTAGCATATACTCTCTCTGTGGTGTCCACAAAGGCAACCCAGGGCTGGTCTGTGAGCCCAGTCTTCGCAAGACTTGGAGCTAGAGGCCAAGTGATCCCAGCCTTTTCTGTTTTCAAAGGTTGCAAAGAGAGAAAGCCCGCTGTAAGGAACGGGAAGAGGGTGGCCTGGGCTCCGTTCTGATGTCAGAGGCAAACTTGGTACTATATATGCATTTCCAGAGGGAACCAAGTTAGGGTAGGCTGGAAGGACACTAAAATGTGTAGCCGAACGGGTCAACATCCTGCATCCTTAGGGTTCATTTGGTCAGGGTATAAGAGTGAGGGCAGTGACCAGCCTTTGAAAGGCCACACCTAAGAAGGAACTCCTACGTGCGAAGGATGCTGGTAGCATATCACTGCACTGGACTCCAGAGTGGCCGTGCCAAAGCACTTTATAAACGTCATCCCTGAACCCCATTTGGACCCTAGTAAGCCTCCAAAAGCCACACTATCAGGCGCTCCCGCCGAACAGAGAGAGAGAGGCACAGGACTCCCGGTTGCCAGGCAGGGCTCAGACCATGCTGTACTCTCGGGCGATGAGACGCCAGAAAAACACTGGCTTTTAGGTTTTTAGAGACCAGGGCAGCAAAAACATACCAGGGGAAAAAAATAACCGTTACTAAAGAGCCTCAGCACCCTTCAGCCAGAAGAGCAGAGCCCCGGAGAGTGCGGGAGTGAAAGGCGAAAAGAAAAACCAGGGCGCAGCAGCGGTCTTCAAGCGCTGGCGCAAGTCGCGGGCTCCCCAGGGCTGCCCTAACCCGTCCGCTCGCAGCTGCTCCCCCAAAGGCGACAAGATCTGTCCGCCTCGTCCGGGCACGGAGCCCTCCTTGGCTGGAGGAGCGAGCAGCTTCAGATGCGCGGCTGCGGTTCTGGTAGGAGCAGGGACCAGGGCGCGGGCCGAGCCCCGCCCAGCCGGCGGCCGGAGCGCTCCGGGACGCAGCAGCTCACAGCAGGCAACCGGGTTCCCAGGCCCGGAGGCCGCCGGCCGCGCAGCCGGCCGACGCCAGCCAAGGTAAGCGCGCCCGTGCGCGCATCGGCCCCCCGGCTCGGTCCGCGGTGCTTAACTTCTCCCCGGCCGCCACCGTCCCCGCCGTCCCGCAGGACTCACCTTCGCCCAGCAGCGGCAGCAGCAGAAACAGCTTCAGCCCCAGCCCCGCGGCGCCGCCGGACGTCGCCTTCGCCATCGCCCGTGCGCGCGCGAGCCGCGGCCGAAGAGCGGGCGGGTCTGTGGGCGGTGGGATGCGGCGCTCAGCCGGGCCTCCCCATGCCAGCCCGGGCGCAGCGGGCACTGCGGGCGCCCTGCGTCCGGGCGCGGATCCCAGCTGCGGACTCCCACGAGCCGCTCCCCGCAGCCTCCTGCACGGGCTCCGCTGGCGGTACTGACGTTGGAGGAGACCTGCGCTGCCTGCGCCCGGGGGAGCGGACTGGGGCAGGGCAGGGAGCAGAGGGAGGGGCACCGGGAGGGGCGGGACCAGGGGTGCGGGTGTGTGTGTGTGGTGTGTGTGGAGGGGCGGGGCTCCAGGTACCCGCCTGGGGCAAGGTGGGGCTGCACCAGCCGCTTCTGGAACTGCTCTTTCCTCCCTGGCGAGAGGGCGGGTCGGAGCTGGGTGCCCTTGGCTTGTGGCGCGGGTTGCGGGTCGGCTGAAGGTAGCGTGGGTCCCTGATCGTCTAGCTGTCGAAGCCACTTTCTCACCCTGGGCGCCTGCTCGCTGTTTCTGCGTTTGTTCTTTCCCGCCGCCCAGAAAGAGCAACGCAGAAGATTCAGGGGACTGGGCCGGCTGTTCCCTACACTCGCAAAGAGACCAGACGCTAGACTGCTGTCCCTCCCGGCCTCTGGACGCGGAGAGCATCCTCCGCCATTTATCAGGGGGAAGTGCATTTGGAGCCAGCAGCCTCTTCTGGGGCTAGAGGCGGGAATAGGGGAGGAGCCCTGACCAGGAGAAAGAGAGCCAGAGAGCCTGCTTTCAGGGTACAAATCTATCGTGTGGTCGAGAGGGTGGGGGTTCCTGTTGGGTTTGTTTGTGATGGCTGGGACCTGTACGACCAATGGGACCAGGAAACTGGCTAACTGCGCATCTTTCAAAGAGACCTGCTGATGTAGCCTGGTGCAATTAGAAGAGGTTGCTGCTACAGGACTGTGGTGGGGACGGTGAAAACAGAGAAGTTTACCAGAAGGCTCCCACCAATATGCCTAAATATATTTACCCACGATATGGGTGGGGAGCCTCTGGACAGGAAATGGAAGGTCAGATGTAGCCCAGCTTTCCCCACTCCCGGCTGCTATTTGAAGCCAGGCTTGCACCTGATAGAGGAAGGAAAGGAAAACAGACGCCTGTAGGACCTCGGGGTGTACAAACCGGGTCCCGGAACCTGAGCCTTGAGCCCCTCCCCTTCTGCAGTACGCAGAGCCCCACCCTCCTGCCTGGCTGAGCTCAGGGCTTGAATAAGCGATGTGAACATCACTCTGCAGATATGAAGTCAAAGTGAAGTCACCCTTACAGGCAGGAGCAGAAGCTGCCAAGACATAGGCTGACTTGGGGCCGGGCCAGCTGAGATGTTCTTCGGAGCCTGCCTGCTGGAAGGGGGGTATCCAGACCACTAGCCGTCCAGCCCCGGAGAGGTGCCTTCAGACCACTGGCTTTTGGGTCTGCGGAGCTGGAGTTAGTCACAGGGTTGCTAATACACCCGATCCCCGAGCTGTCACTTGGGTCTGTGCCTCCGGAAGGGACCTGTCTCAGAAAATGCAAGGGAAGCTACTTTTTGGCTGCAAACAGGTTCCTGTGGCTGTTTTCCAACAGAGTGCGGAGAGAGAAGAGAATCTGGCCCACTCTCCCAGTCAGCTTCCCCCTCACACTTCCCTCACTGACACCACACTGGAACGGACTCCCTCTGGCCATTCTGAGCACCCACGCAAGAACACCCTCCTGTCTGCACCGCAAGCCTTTGCACCCTTGAGTGTCCAGATACCTCGGTGAGGACATTTCCCTCTCCTCAGAAGACCCTGAGTGGACTCTTGTGTGAACCCCATATACACGAATGCACCAGTGTCCAGATCCATGGATAGCTATGTACTTGAGTGCATAGCTCCTCCTCCCTGTGTACGCCCGGCGAGTGGGACAGGGACATCAGCACCTAGATCTTAGGGAAGTCCTGGAGCTGCTGGCATTGAGGGCCTTGTGGAAGGTCCAAACTTAGCTCTACCTGGGTCCAAGATATTAACTCAGTGTTCAGAGTCTGAGCCCAGTAGGAGGGAGCTTCCTCTAGGGGAGTGGAAACGGTGGCTACCTCCCTGTCCCTAAGGCAGGTCTGAGGCCAGCCTCAGAGGTCACTTAGGAAGCCCCATCCTTTGCTCCTTTCTTTTTGCCTGTATGAAAGGAGGGTCTGTATGAGGCTCTACTCTTCCTAATCTTCTTACTCTGAGCCTCATTCCCCACCCACCCTCCACCCCAGGCTGTAAACCTCTTCCTCTCAGAGAAAGGACTCCCCTCCCCCCTTTTTTTTTAAAGGAGTATATGTGTAGATGGAACTCAGTGACAGCACCGGGTACATGCTCAGTAAGCCATAACCGCTGTCTTGCCAGGGTTCCCCCAGAACTTGACCCTGACCTTCCCCCAGTGAAGGTCGTTAGTGCTCTGGGAGCTAGATTTGGGCACAGTCTGGTAGGTGCTAAGCTTCACCCATAGAGACGCTTTATTCTTTCTTTCTTTCTTTCTTTAAGAAATAATGACACCGGGGATTGAACGCAGAGCCTCTAGTGTGCTAGGCAAATGCTCTACCACCAAGCCACTACTCATACATACTCTAAAGAAGACTCTCCCCAAGAGCTTGTGGTGCGGGCTGCTGCTCTGGAGTGGATTTAACTTGAGTTTGTTAGCACCTGTGCTGTCTACCTCCCCCAGCCTGTTTTGTCTCCTGCCCAGGGGAAGCCGACTGATGGTCTCAAGGAGTTAACGGGTAGGCGGCTCATGTGGTGTCCTTGCAGAAAGCTGGACTGTAAAGGTTGTATGTGGCCTCTTGAGTATGGAAGGCCCCTTGGGTCTGTCCCCAAAACACAACCCAAGGACGAGAGGGTGAGGAGGCCAGGTTCAGCATCGACACCGATCCCAGGCTTGCTCCAGTAGAAAAGGGCTACTTCTGGATGGGACACTGGGAAAGGTGCCCTAGGAACACAGAGGCGTAGGTCTAGGGATGCCCGGAAGTATCAAGAAAGCTCAATGCAGGGCCAGGTACGTGGCATTTGGGGTCCTCAGAGAGGCGTCCGGAAGTACAGCCCAGACTGGGAAGCACAGGAATGCGAGGTCCACCAGAGTGGACATGAGCTCTTCTCCTGCAGGCAGTGTGACACAATAGATGAAAACACAGAGTCCGCAACCCTGAGGGGGACACTTCACTCCCTCTGCTACTCCGATGGGGTGTTAGGGTGAGTGGGGGTGGGCCTATTGCTTCTCCATGGTGTGCCTCCCTATCTGCTGTTGGCTGCCCTCCAGGGAGCTAAAAACAACAAAAAAAAAAAACATGGCCAACAGCTACCTCTGAGGCCACCACGGTGGAGGCAAGTAGGTGTGCCTCCTCATCAAATACGTCATTAGCATATTCACAAGCTATGTGGCTTGGGCTGGCAGGATACAGCCTCAAAGGATGTGCCTTATGGCCTCTGGAGATCCTGCCTGTCCGCCTGCCTCAGCACCCATTGAAGACACTTGGAGGTGGGACTTCAGCTTGTCTGTGAGAAGACACTCCTCTTATACCTTCTTGGGGCCTGACTAGATACCAGAGGAAGCCTGAGGCCCTGCCTCATGAAGGCAAGCAACAGGGACAGACCTACCTACCCGAGCCTGGACAGAGCCCACCTTCACATGACTGCCTTGTCTTTGGTTCTTGCCCGAGCTTTCCTCAGGCTTCTCCTGTGGGGTCTTCCAAGTTCCTCCCTCCCCTACCCCCGTCGACCCTCCCCTTTTCCCCCTGTAGCACCTTTTCCTCTGGAGAAATTCTCTCTCATTCTTTTCACCCAGCCTAAAAACCAGGCTAACTACATCGATCGATACCTTCCAGAAAGTTCTTCTTTAACACTGGTATGTGGAGACAACTGCCCAGCAGTGTTGTTTTGAGCTTAAGCAGTAGTATATGGATGGGCTCAGTGGACAGGTGTGCTTTTCTTCATCTTCATCTGTTCTCTGTCTCAAGTCTGGGGCCTCTAGGAAGCTGTCCCTTCTCCCTGTCTTCCTTGAGAGAGAGCCCACAGTCAGGGACCACCATAGTCCCTCTGAGCAGTCCTTGTTACTATGACTATTCCCATCACCTATAGAAGTATAAAAGACAAAGATATCAGAAGCTATTGCTAAGATAGCATATGACGCCTGATGGCCCCTCCTACAAACTTGTCTGTTTTCCTCTGCTCCTGGTTTTTCACTTGCCCAGGTAAGAGCCCCATTGTGTCAAATGCAAGCCCTGCCAGAGCTAACTCCTGTTCCGCAGCCTCCTGGCTTGGCCATAAGTGCCAGGCCTCCTAACCCACAGGTGTGTTGGAAGGAAAAGAGTCCCAGAACCTCAGAGCCCACCCCTTGCTGCTTCAAACTCTTCAGTGGAGTTTCAAGAGTGGTAGGTGGATTCATGACTGCACCTACCTGGGCTCCTGGGCATTTGCTCATCCTCTGTCATGGTGGAGGCCATTGCTGGGCTCGACTGTGTCTCAATGCATCATGTAGAGCAGTAGAGAAAGCTTTCCGGCTCCTAAGCAAGCCATGGAGAGGGCAGTGAGCATAGTTGGCAAGTCCGGCAGAAACGGCCTGAATGCCTTTTAGAAAAACGTCTCCCAAGGCAGTTTCATAATCTGCCTTGTAATGCAGATTTAGACAACTTTTTTAAGAATGCACTTTTTAAAATAGGTCTTAATGGATCCTTTGCAGTAGTTACCGTCCATTGTGTAAATGCAAACAGAAGGCTTTTTGAAAACATGTATTATTGATCAGAAAGAAAGAAGCAATTAGAAGCCAGTGTGTCATATTGTTCAATATACGCTTCCTATACAGCTCTGCTAAACTCACTCGTAACTTTCTGACAAATTATCCTGTCACCAGGAAGCATTTCCCTTACTCTTGGCTTCTGGAAGCAAAGGAGGACCTATTTCAGTCATTATATTCAGTTATTAGCTGGAGGTAAATGAAAAATTAAGCTTACCTTTATCATAGCAAAACCTATCTATCGCCAACTTCTCAAGTTTCAGGCTAAAATAGCTAAACCTTCAGGAAAGATGGATGATGCTTCTAGATTTGGTCTATAGTGCAGTGGCAGTGTGTGTGTGTGTGTGTGTGTGTGTGTGTGTGTGTGTGAGAGAGAGAGAGAGAGAGAGAGAGAGAGAGAGAGAGAGAGAGACTGGGTAGTAGTGTTCCGTAGGAGGGTAGAGACAAGG